ATTGGGAACTACATGGTCCAGAATCAGTCCAAATATTACCCAAAGAAAGAATGGAAAGCATTTTGGGTTTAAGTAATTTTTATTTAGGTTTTGGGTACATAACATACAATAGATAAATAACCTGCAGGTTATTTGTCTATTGACCCAGTCAAGGTATTGTGCCTTTTTATTCTTATATCTTTTTTTTTTACAATGGTTTTGAGGACACATAGCTGTTATGGGCACATAAAAAGTATATTATATACATTTAACTCAGCAAAGCTAAACACTATCTAATATCTAATCACAAGAGAAATTTATCAATCATTTCAAAGTAATCAATTTATTTAATTAAATTGGCATATTAAAATTTAGAAAACGTAAATCGAAAGCAAAGTTTCCTTGGAGGAAAAACACACCATCAATTAAAGTTTGAAGCAGACCAGAAGATGGATTCCCAAGTTATTGCACATAATTCAACGATATTTGTAACCTTAAACGCCCCAAAAAACGTTTCATATATTTCATAAGATCCGTCAACCATCAGAGATTGACGACGGTCAAATTTTTTTAATGCTGCCACAGGCACTAGTGCCTAGGGCACTAGTGCATGGGGCACTAAGGAACAACTCCAGCACCTGTCAACTTTGTCCCACTATATAAGCCTGGCAGTCGAAGGTTAACTTCGCAATGTTACCATGAGAACGTCTCCGACACTGGGCAGGGCGGACCTAAGTTTCTACTCTGGTAATTGGGAGGTTGTAGAGCTCAAGTTGCTCCTGATGTTTGGGGCCACATTGCAGAAAGTTTTGTTCGATAATGGTAAGTGGGATGAGGACAGAACTACAGATAGTGTTGAGAATGGGAATGGCTGTGTAAAGTGACAGAGATACCGTCAATAGCGTCCTGCACAGCGACAGCGCTCATCAGAGTCTTACTTAGAGTATACCTGGAAGGAATTTCGGAGGTCAACGCCCCCGCGGCCCGGTCCGTGACCAGGCATGAGAGGACACATTTTGACCCACATGTTTCATGTGGGTCAAAATGTGTCGATGAGGTAAGCAGCAAGTGCCGTTGGCTGAAAAGAAAAGAATTTCGTCCAAGATTGTCAAAGTGATACAAGACCCCTTCACCATCATCAAGGGCCCTTCCCTTCAAAGTAGTGGAAGAGTTCTTCACCATCATCAAGGGCTCTTCCCTTCAAAGTAGTTCAAGAGTCCTTCACCATCATCAAGGGTCCTTCCCTTCAAAGTAGTGGAAGAGTCCTTCACCATCATCAAGGGCCCTTCCCTTCAAAGTAGTGGAAGAGTCCTTCACCATCATCAAGGGCCCTTCCCTTCAAAGTAGTCCAAGAGTCCTTCACCATCATCCAGGGTCCTTCCCTTCAAAGTAGTCCAAGAGTCCTTCACCATCATCAAGGGCCCTTCCCTTTAAAGTAGTGGAAGAGTCCTTCACCATCATCAAGGGCCCTTCCCTTCAAAGTAGTCCAAGAGTCCTTCCCTTGAAAGTAGTCCAAGAGTCCTTCACCATCATCCAGGGTCCTTCCCTTGAAAGTAGTCCAAGAGTCCTTCACCATCATCATTGGAAGGTTGAACTTGCGCGTGAAGATGAGCACGAGACGATACGACTCGACACTGGACACAAAATATTTAGGTCCGAGTCGTGTCTACATTATATAAACTGAATTTGTGACTTACGAAGATTATCGGCCGGTCGTTGATTTTTGTAGTGTGGTTTAAGGCGTCACGTTGGGAGTTGAGCCACACTCGCGGACAGCTTCCAGCGTTGGTTCGAATCCTGCTGGCTGAGATATTTCTTTATATATACTTACCTATATGTGGTTGCATGGGACGAGTCTCAGCTTCTGGCTCCGCCTCTCTTTTGGGTGCTACTGGCTTCACTCTCCTCACTTCGAGAGCCTTATTGTACCTCTTAAGCAAATATCTGGATCCTGTCTGTATCACTCCTCTCTCAGGCTATCATAAGAACATAAGAAAGGAGGAACACTGCAGCAGGCCTGTTGGCCCATACTAGGCAGGTCCTTTACAATTCATCCCACTAACAAAACATCTGCCCAACCCAATTTTCAATGCTACCCAAGAAATAAGCTCTGATGTGCAAGTCCCACTCAAATCCAACCCCTCCCACTCATGTACTTATCCAACCTAAATTTGAAACTACCCAAAGTCTAGCCTCAATAACCCAACTAGGTAGACTGTTCCACTCATCAACTACCCTATTTCCAAACCAATACTTTCCTATGTCCTTTCTAAATCTAAACTTATCTAATTTAAATCCATTACTGCGGGTTCTCTCTTGGAGAGATATCCTCAAGACCTTATTAATATCCCCTTTATTAATACTATCTTCCACTTATACACTTCGATCAGGTCTCCCCTCATTCTTCGTCTAACAAGTGAATGTAATTTAAGAGTCTTCAATCTTTCTTCATAAGGAAGGTTTCTAATGTTATGTATTAATTTAGTCATTCTACGCTGAATGTTTTCTAACGAATTTATATCCATTCTGTAATATGGAGACCAGAACTGAGCTGCATAATCTAGGTGAGGCCTTACTAATGATGTATAAAGCTGCAGTATGACCTCTGGACTTCTGTTGCTTACACTTCTTGATATAAATCCCAGTAATCTATTTGCCTTATTACGTACGCTTAGGCATTGCTGCCTTGGTTTAAGGTTGCTGCTCACCATAACCCCCAAGTCCTTTTCGCAATCTGTATGGCTAAGTTCTACATTATTTAACTTATAAGTGCTAGGGTTATGGACACTCCCGAGCTTCAGAACCTTGCATTTATCTACATTGAACTGCATCTGCCACTTTTCTGACCAAGAATAGAGTTTGTCTAAATCCTCCTGAAGTTCCCTAACATTTACGTTTGAATCAATTATCCTACCTATCTTTGTGTCATCGGCGAATTTACTCATATCACTAGTAATTCCCTCATCAAGATCATTGATGTATATTATAAACAAGAACGGGCCTAAGACTGATCCATGTGGTACACCACTTGTTACAGATCCCCACTAGGATTTAACCCCATTTATGGACACTCTGCTTCCTGTCTGTGAGCCATGACTCGATCCACGAGAGCACTTTTCCCCCAATGCCATGAGCTGCCACTTTCTTTAACAGTCTATGGTGCGGAACTCTATCAAAAGCCTTACTAAAATCTAAGTAAATAATATCAAATTCTTTATCGTGATCAACAGCCTCAAAAGCTTTAATGAAGAAAGTTAACAAATTAGTTAGACAAGAACGGCCTCTCGTGAATCCATGCTGAGTATCATTAATCAAGCTATGCTTATCGAGATGGCTTTTTATAATCTCAGCTATAATTGACTCAAGTAATTTGCCTACAATTGAGGTCAGGCTTATTGGGCGGTCATTTGACGGTAACGACTTGTTCCCTGTTTTAAAAATAGGAATTACATTAGCCATCTTCCACATATCAGACACTACACCTGTTTGAAGAGATAAATTAAAAATATTAGTTAATGGTTCACAGAGTTCCATTTTGCATTCCTTAAGAACCCTTGAAAAAACCTCATCAGGTTCCGGCGACTTATTTTGTTTCAGTCGGTCTATCTGCTTCACAACCATTTCACTAGTGACTGTGATGTTACATAATTTATCTTCTTCTGACTCACTATAAAAATTAATTACTGGAATATTTAAAGTAAAAGGACACAAGTGCAACTAATGTGACATTTTATGTGGCATAAAATGTCACATTAGTTGCATTTGTGTCCTTTTACTTTACATATTGTCGGTAATTCTACCAACATTATTACTGGAATATTGTTAGTGTCTTCCTGTGTAAAAACCGAGAGAAAATAATTATTTAAAATCGAGCACATTTCATTCTCTTTGTCAGTAAGGTGTCCATAGTTATTTTTAAGGGGACCTATCTTATCTCTAACTTTTGTTCTATAGACCTGGAAAAACCTTTTTGGGTTAGTTTTAGAATCCCTAGCAACTTTAATTTCATAGTCCCTTTTAGCTTTTCTTAGCCCCTTTTTAATGTCCCTCTTAATGTCAATATACTGATTCATAAGATGACCCTCACCTCTTTTGATACGCCTATAAATTCCCTTCTTATGCCCTAGTAGATATTTTAGCCTATTATTCATCCATTTTGGGTCATTTCTATTTGATCTAATTTCTTTATACGGGATACACGTTCTTTGAGCAGCATGTATAGTGTTCAGAAAACTGTCATATTGATAGCTCACTTCGTTACCCCAGTCAACAGATGATAAGTGTTCTCTAAGCCCATCGTAATCTGCTAAGCGAAAATCTGGGACTGTTACTGAGTTATCCCTACTATCATACTTCCATTCAATGCTGAATGTAATTGATTTGTGGTCGCTAGCACCCAGTTCCTCTGAAATTTCTAAATTATTAACAAGGGATTCATTGTTTGCCAGAACTAAGTCAAGCAGGTTTTTTCCCCTTGTAGGTTCTGTCACAAACTGCTTCAAAAAACAATCCTGAAATACTTCTAAGAAGTCGTATGATTCTAAATTCCCAGTCAAGAAATTCCAATCAATATGACTAAAGTTAAAGTCTCCTAGAATTACAGTAGTAGGAGGAGTTATATCTCTAAATACAAAGAATATATTCATAAGTATGCTAAGCATATCTGCTAGCGAGCATTAAATTAAATGGTTGGATTCCTCGGAGTCTCTTGTAGACATGTACATAAAGAGTACTGTACTAACTTAGGAGTTTCCTGTATAAATATACATAGCATAATACTAGCATTTCTGCTAGAATTAGTCACTCATTTACATATCACAAATTTTAAAACGTAAAGGTACCCCAAGTTTAATATGGGAACTGCATTCAAAACGTGACTCAAATAGTTTAACTATTAATTTCTTAAATATGTAATTGACTTACCTTTTTCCCTTTCTTTTAATTCTGGTTAAAAGTCCCCTGGAATTTATTGCTTTTCTAGTCAAATTAATAAGTCATTGGTTGAAGGTAGTAAACCGTAAGATTGTATTAATACTGGTAGAATTACTGACATTATGTTAAGTAAAAGGACAGAAGTGCAACTAATGTGACATTTTATTGTGGCAACGTTTCGCTCTCCAGGAGCTTTGTCAAGCCGTTACAAACAGTACATGGACACACAGGGTGTATATAGTGAGGTGTAATACTACTGGTAGTAGTAGTAATAGTAGTAGTAGTAACAGTAGTAGTTATACTAGTTGTAGTAGTAGTAGTAATACACATGAGTAATGCACATGAGTAAAAGGTTATAAAAGCCATTACTTGGGTAACATAAAAATAGGTTAGACAAATATTTCTGTAGGAGGCTGGATTAGAGAAGGTCTGTTTCAGTGTTACTCCTCTGTAATATGCTTGTGTAGTATTAACAGGAGAGACTACGTGATGGCAGGGTTTACTGTTTTCAGGAGGATTCTTGCTAAGACTTAAGAGATGGTGAAGCTGCCTTTGTTTTGTTTAACTGTATTAGAAACAGCGATTAATGCTGATTCAAGGCACTTGCGTCTGCGGAAATTAGTTATTTTGATCACTAATTGGGCGTCTCGGAATTTCATGTGGTGATTGGTGGAATTTCGGTGTTGTATGCAGGCGTTGTTCATGTTATCGTTCCTACAATCATTAATGTGTTCATTGAGGCGTGTTTCGAGGTTTCATGCCGTTTCACCTACATAAATCCTGTCACAGCCTCCACAGGGTATAGTGTAAACCCCTGCGTTGACTAGTGAGGCACAGCTGGTAAAACAGCTGGTGAGGCACAACTGGTGAGATACAGCTGGTGAGGTTAAACTGGTGAAATGCTTCCCAAGGTGATACAAGAATGATTTTGTTTACCACAGAGTAACACATTCCTCAAACCCACAATGGCATTTCATACGCCAATAATTATCTTCGTCAAGGTCACCATGTTAACGAAATTCTGATAATTATGGCGGTTTTAATGTACACAGTTATGTGTTAATGCAAAGTTACAGATTTATATAGATAGGGAAGTGCCGTCATGTTGAAAGATAAGTATGATGATGGTGCAGGTTAGAATATACATCGTTTTGTTTCTATAGATGTGTATAGATGTAGTAAATGAGCTTGGCAGACGATATTAGGTTGTGCTGGTAGGGTCGCCAGAGAGGGCTTTCTCCGTCAGGAGGACCAGAAATGCGGAGCTGTAGCCCAACAGGAGGATGTAGAAGGCACCTTGCAGGTGGTTCAAGTTTAACACCACCGCCCCGTCTCCGCTCTGACTTGCTCTCTGTAAATAAAAAGGTGAGTGTGTTAGATTAGAAGGGAGAAAACCCACATAAAACACACACACACACACACACACACACACACACACACACACACACACACACACACACACACACACACACACACACAAGGTGGACAAGGACAGGATGTTCCAGGGAGGGGACACAGAAACAAGAGGCGACAATTGGAAGTTGAAGACACAAATGAGTCAGAGAGATAGTAGGAAGTATTTCTTCAGTCATAGAGTTGTAAGGCAGTGGAATAGCCTAGAAAATGACGTAGTGGAGGCAGGAACCATACACAGTTTTAAGACGAGGTTTGATAAAGCTCATGGAGCGGGGAGAGAGAGGGCCTAGTAGCAACCGGTGAAGAGGCGGGGCCAGGAGCTAGGACTCGACCCCTGCAACCACAAATAGGTGAGTACAAATAGGTGAGTACACACACAAAACCAGAGCACACAAGCACACTCCAGCACACTGGCAAATTCCGTGTACCACTCACGCTCTACACAGCAACTTTCACTGCAGTACACTGCTCCAGTACACCTGGTCGTCACTACACTGCCATCGCTCACAACAGTGGCCACTTTCCAACGTATTTGCAACTTGTCATGAAACTGATTTAAAATAAAGTGTTTATATTAATACATGTCCACTTCTCAGTTTATCTCTCACACATATTCCATGATTTCTACATTTACTATTATTATTATTATTATTATTATTATTATTATTATTATTGTTGTTGTTGTTGTTGTTGTTGTTGTTGTTGTTGTTGTTGTTGTTGTTGTTGTTGTTGTTGTTGTTGTTGTTGTTGTTGTTGTTGTTGTTGTTGTTGTTGTTGTTGTTGCTGTTGTTGTTGCTGTTGTTGTTGTTGTTGTTGCTGTTGTTGTTGTTACGTTCGTAAAAAGTAAGATTCATATATATAAGTCATTTTTAAGTGATAAAACCATCAGCTATTTATCCTGCCTCCACCAGGACGAGTTGTACCACCACTATCTATCCTGCCTCCACCAGGACGAGTTGTACCACCACTATCTATCCTGCCTCCACCAGGACGAGTTGTACCACCACTATCTATCCTGCCTCCACCAGGACGAGTTGTACCACCACTATCTATCCTGCCTCCACCAGGACGAGTTGTACCACCACTATCTATCCTGCCTCCACCAGGACGAGTTGTACCACCACTATCTATCCTGCCTCCACCAGGACGAGTTGTACCACCACTATCTATCCTGCCTCCACCAGGACGAGTTGTACCACCACTATCTATCCTGCCTCCACCAGGACGAGTTGTACCACCACTATCTATCCTGCCTCCACCAGGACGAGTTGTACCACCACTATCTATCCTGCCTCCACCAGGACGAGTTGTACCACCACTATCTATCCTGCCTCCACCAGGACGAGTTGTACCACCACTATCTATCCTGCCTCCACCAGGACGAGTTGTACCACTACTATCAATCCTGTCTCCACCAGGACGAGTTGTACCACCACTATCTATTCTGCTTCCACCAGGATGAGCTGTACCACCACTATCTATCCTTCTACCACCAGAATGAGCTGTACCACCACTATCTATCCTGCCTCCACCAAGATGAGTTGTACCACCACTATCTATTCTGCCTCCACCAGGATGAGTTGTACCACCATTATCTATCCTGCCTCCACCAGGATGAGTTGTACCACCATTATCTATCCTGCCTCCACCAGGATGAGCTGTACCACCACTATCTATCCTTCTACCGCCAGGATGAGCTGTACCACCACTATCTATCCTGCCTCCACCAGGATGAGTTGTACCACCACTATCTATCCTGCCTCCACCAGGATGAGTTGTACCACCACCACCAAGATAAGTTACCCACACAACTCACAGTTTGCCTCAACACATCTAGGCTTCCAGCAGGCTAGAGAGAACGCACCTGGACTTCTGACGGGAGTGAGGCTGCTCCGTCACCTGCAGTACCCATCCTCCTCTCTTCCTCTCTCTTCTCATCTCTAGCTTTCTTCGTGGAGGAGTCAAAGAGCTCCTTCAGCCAGTAGTTAACTAGTCCTGCCTCCACCAGACGGTCGTGGATCCTGTCCATGGGCTCAAGGAACGGCAGTCCCTTCTTGCAAGGTTAAACCCACAAAGCAGAGTAAGAACTTTCTCAGGAATATCAGTGAATATTTTACAGTAGTAACCATCGTTTTCTGAAAGTGAACTGTAGCTTCCACTTATTGAATAACAACCGCTTTAGAAACCGGATTTTTGTGGGATGGTGCTGGTTTTATGAATCATGGCTGCCTCTAAACATTTACGACTGTGTAGGTCATCTTCAGGTATAATTTGTTTAGCCTCTCCGACCTTCATGAGGTGTCTTTGCTGGTTCCTGTCTTGGACACATACATTTTCATGTCGCAGTTGCACACATATTTTTCTCAAATTCTTACTTCCAGGGTTCTTGCTGTTTCGCCCACATCTTATCACACCCTCCAGAAGGTATGACACAGACGTGCACTGGTGGCTGTGTTGTCAGATTGCTTGCTCCTTACTAAATCTCTGACAGAGGTCAAAGAGTTTGTAGTTATTTTAAATTGACTGCTTCTCATTTTCAAGGATACATTTGAAGCTACATTTCTAACAGGGTGTTTCCTCTGTAGAGTCAATGCTGTTCCTGTTGTGGAGTGCACTGAATATGTTACAATTTATTCAGTGTTTATCATATACCCACTGGCATTCCGTCTCGACCAGCCAACTGGTAACTCAGAATGGAGCAGCTCCGGGGCTCCACTTTTGTATTAATTGTCCAGTTCGATGTGTGGGAAACACTGTTGTGGAAGGTACAGTGGGAAAGTTTGAAGTGCTTGACGTAAATAATAATGTGGAACTTTTACTTTAGCTCAATAATACAGCAAGTACGTCAACAAACAAGAACAGTAAAGTAATGTAGAACAACAGTATGGCAACACGCAAGAACAGTACATTAACTTAAAATAAATACAGTAACTCAGAAGAAAATTACTACTGTAACATGCAAGGACTGTATAGTAACACATAAATATTAATGTTTGCTTATTGCCTGCTGATTATACCAAGCAATGAATATGTCAAGATTGTGACTGATCCAGTGATAGAAAAGACAAAATATAAATAATGAAGAACTGACTAGAAAAGTACCTCATAATAACTATAGAATAACATGAAACAGTACAGTACAGTAACACAAAAGAACAGTACAGTAACACATAAGATCAAAACTGTAACACACAAGAAAAGTACAGTAACATACAGCAGAATAGTACAGCAGTACACAAGTACCACACAAGAACAATACAATAAAATAAGGGAAGAGTAGAGCAAGATGATGATAATACATAAAACAGCAGTAATAAAAACATTAAGACAGAGTTGCAGTGGTCAGGTTGTAACATCAACACCAACAATCCATTTTGTCCAGAGGTTGACTCTCCCAGTTTGTACATCTTATTTTCTTTCCTTAGATTTTTTTTTGTTGTGTTTGTGAGTATCGTTCTCAATATAGTGAAGATGAGAGAAGTGAAGACATAAAAAAATAATATAATATATATATATATATATATATATATATATATATATATATATATATATATATATATATATATATATATAAATATATATATATATATATATATATATATATATATATATATATATATATATATATATATATATATATATATATATATATATATTTGTGTGTGTGTGTGTGTGTGTGTGTGAAGAATATTAATTAATAGTAATTAAAAAATGCTTTGTTATAAAGTTCAAGACATATGGTGCTAGGGTTGCGAATGTATATTACATCAAGATATCACTGCAAAATACAGCAGTATTGGAGACAGTAACAGTGAGACAAACTAGCCAGCCAGGTTGCAGAAGTGGCTGCCGAAACCTCTTTTGCAAACAGATGGAGGCTACCATGAGGGTCGACTTCATTACTTCCAGATTTATTTTTTTTTGTGTGTGTGTTTATTGTGGACGGCGTTACTTGTATTAATATTTTATAAGGGGATATGAGTGAAAATGAGAAAGGTGGGATCCTGGGAGATGTTAAGTGAATGTGTTAGGAATGTTGAGTCATGTAAAATAATTGCTTGGGGTGACATGAATATAATCAACAGTGTGAGAGATGGTCCTGCCAGCCGAGGTGACGTTGTGCTTGATCGCTCGGCAGTGGATGAGACGCTCACTCAAGCTGGTCTGGTACACTTATACTCACTTCTCTATTCTGAGATGTAAATCCTCTTGTTATACGTAGTTCTTTTCTTTCTGGATTATTATTGTCATACAGCCGATTTAATTCTGTAAATGCTGTACATATTTTGGTGAAGGGAGTGTACAGGTAAAGAAATAACTACTTTTCCTGTGTTTTCCATCGCCTTTGATTGTCTGGATTGATCATTGTCTGGAGGCATTAGTTACGGCCAGGTACAACAGGCCTTGGATTGCTACCTGTGTTCGTTATAAGAATCCGTGCAGCCCAGTAGTTTGAAAGCCCGAGTAATGTATTAACATTCCTCTTAGAGGAACTGTGGGCTGCAGTTCTTATATGCCCTTAGAAAAAATCGTATCACAAAGGCTCTTTTAGATCTATTATCGTGATGGAAGTAATAATAAAGCAAGTCGTCCTTGTAAGCAGGTTTCCTATATACTTTGAATAAATCTATCCTTGCCAGTGTGGAGTGAAACGTCTAAGATGGCAACTGGTTCTCTTTTTCTTTATCATCTGTGAATTATACAGGGCAGTTCCAAGCTGTTGATGGTGTTCTGCCCGTCTCTTGATACTGTTTTTTCCAGATGCTTTATCCCCCTTTTAATCTATCCACTGCTTCACGCACAACTTCATCTGCTTCTCCTAACTCATACAAGATGTTATTCCTCCCTGCCCAATAAATAAAATCACTGCCACCGTATGCATAGCTTTATGTATATAAAATCATAGAGATTGCAGTAGCTCCATCCACTGGAGCCCAAGATTATACAGCATACCTGACACACCAGCCACAGGAACCCAAGATAATGCCTCATACCTGACACCCCAGCCATTGGAGCCAGGGATGAACTCGTCTTGGCTCACATGTATTGGGGTGTTGCCGAATCTGTCGGTGAAGCGGGCAGCAATGATGGTTTTAACGTAGTATTTCCAAGTGAAGAAGGCGTGGTGACCCTTCAGCACCTGCGCCATCTGTGTCTCCATGTCCAGCACCTGGAGACGTGGTTAATGATGGTTAAGTTTAGTGGTGGTAGTTGACAGGTAGTAGTGGTTAGTTGTGGTAGAGGGCTGGTGCAGAAATGGTGGCTCTTGAAAGCAGAGGGATGGTAGCGGATTGCTGAACAAAATACGTTCAGTAGCAACTTATAGCATATATCGTACAATCCTACAACACAGATTTCTTAAGATTTCTTTACCTTAAGCTTGGGAAACATGCTCTTGACTGAAGGGTTGGTGCTAAACTTGAACCAGTCCCATCCCAGCCCGAGACCCGGCTCAATCCCCCAGGTGGAGCCAGGCTGAGCCAGGAGCTGCTCTATGGTGTCTATAGGAGGGGAGGTGATGGGCACGGAGAGGTAGGCGATGAGGGAGGAACGATACATGGTAGTGATGACCAGGCAGAACACCCACCACCATCCCACCACCATCTGCAGTGGGCAAGTCTTCCTTCTCAGTGTTAAGTTTTTGTTATGAGTATTATCGTAATTGGTTATGGGTGTAACAAATGTCTTAATACCTTTCAGGAAGGGGAAAATGGTTAGCAAATCTTTTCAAATTGCTGAAGATTGGATAAAGCAGTGGGAAAAATGCTAAATAATAATAACAATAAATCTTTATTTCTACAGGTACATGATGCAATTTATACAGACTATAGTTGACATCAGTAACATACTATATAGAAAGCCCCTGGTTATGCAGAGTATTTCGGGCAACTTAAGTTAATTTTGTCCCGGGATGTGACCCACCTACTTGCTGCTAGGTGAACAGGGACAGAAGGTGTCTTAAGGAAACACACCAAAGTTTCCACTGTACCGGCAGTACAAACACAATATTGTACGATATTGGTGAATTTGTTGCCAAGTGAATGATATATTTATTCATATCAGCGACAACTTAGGTGCACAGCAACTTACATTACGTATATAATAATACACTTTGTTTAGGTGTATAATAGCAGTGGTTATATGTACGACAACATATGTACATGATACTGACCTGTCCAGTGAAGTTGGCAGGTGAGCGGATGAATGGTTCCTCCAGCATGATGGACCAGGTGTAGAGGAGAGACGTAGTGAGGTTCAAGCCACGCTTCTTGAACACCCCCGCCCACACCAGCTGTACCAACCACAACACTACACCAGACACCACCGTCGATACTATCACCGCCACCCACAGCAGCGCTACACCAGAGAAGGGACAGCAGGTCAGGAGTACACGGGAAAGGCAGACAGCAGAAGACTTGAAAGTCCCTTCCGAGGCTATCTGCTGAAAACAACTGTTTATTTCTATCTAGATTAAGTAGTATCGTGCATTATGTGTGTCAGGGACAGTAACGCAGAAGACGGAAGATCTCCCAAGACTCTTGCGTCTAGGCGCTCACAATCTATCGTCATAGGGATAGATCTGTATATTAATGCTGCTGCCAAATACACTTTAATAATAATAAAAGACATTTTATAAATTAATTCTATACATGTAGGTTATGAAAAGGAATTTAACAATTCTCATTTCTTACGTTTGTCGCAACTAAAATATTTTGTCAATGCTTCAACCACCTTTGTCTGCCTATGTAAATTCAGCAGTCATGCTGTATTATATACATTAGGAAGCACTAATCCCGTACGGGGTCATGCAGAACCTGTGGGAATTGGGGGGGGATGAAATTAAGTTTGATGAGAGTAGGAGAAGGATATGTCAAATACCTTGGATCTAGAGCCCTTCATCAATATCAAATGCAAGGAAAGGTAATGTTTGCGAGTTTGGTAGAAGGCTCTTGATCCGAGGAATTGAAATTACTTCTCCCCTTCCTCTAATTTCCCACATGGGCTTAGCGCTTCCCCAAGATGGGAATAATAGACCAGGAATTAACTGACAAGCTTGTGTTGCAAGATAACTTGGCAAGCTTGTGTTGCAATAGAACTTGGCAAGCTTGTATTGCATGATAACTTGGCAAGCTTGTATTGCAATATAACTTGGCAAGCTTGTGTTGCAATATAACTTGGCAAGCTTGTATTACATGATAACTTGGCAAGCTTGTGTTGCAAGACAACTTGGCAAGCTTGTATTGCAATATAACTTGGCAAGCTTGTGTTGCATGATAACTTGGCAAGCTTGTGTTGCATGATAACTTGGCAAGCTTGTGTTGCAAGACAACTTGGCAAGCTTGTATTGCAATATAACTTGGCAAGCTTGTGTTGCATGATAACTTGGCAAGCTTGTGTTGCATGATAACTTGGCAAGCTTGTGTTGCATGATAAGTTGGCAAGCTTGTGTTGCAAGATAGCTTGGCAAGCGTGTGTTGCATGATAACTTGGCAAGCTTGTGTTGCATGATAACTTGGCAAGCTTGTGTTGCATGATAACTTGGCAAGCTTGTGTTGCATGATAACTTGGCAAGCTTGTGTTGCATGATAACTTGGCAAGCTTGTGTTGCATGATAACTTGGCAAGCTTGTGTTGCATGATAACTTGGCAAGCTTGTGTTGCATGATAACTTGGCAAGCTTGTGTTGCAAGATAGCTTGGCAAGCGTGTGTTGCATGATAACATGGCAAGCTTGTGTTGCATGATAACTTGGCAAGCTTGTGTTGCAAGATAGCTTGACAAGCGTGTGTTTCATGATAACTTGGCAAGCTTGTGTTGTAAGATAGCTTGGCAAGCGTGTGTTACATGATAACTTGGCAAGCTTGTGTTGCATGATAACTTGGCAAGCTTGTGTTGCAAGATAACTTGGCAAGCTTGTGTTGCAAGATAACTTGGCAAGTTTGTGTTGCATGATGACTTGGAAAGCTTGTGTTGCAAGATAACTTGGCAAGCTTGTGTTGCAAGATAACTTGGCAAGCTTGTGATGCATGACAACTTGGCAAGCTTGTGTTGCAAGATAACTTGGCAAGCTTGTGTTGCATGATAACTTGGCAAGCTTGCGTTGCATGATAACTTGGCAAGTTTGTGTTGCAAGATAACTTGGCAAGCTTGTGCTGCAAGACAACTTAGCAAGCTTGTGGTGCAAGATAACTTGACAAGCATGTGTTGCAAGATAACTTGGTAAGCTTGTGTTGCAAAATAACTTGGCAAGCTTGTGTTGCAAGATAATTTGGCAAACTTGTGTTGCAAGATAACTTGGCAAACTTGTGTTGCAAGATAACTTAGCAAACTTGTCTTGTAAGATAACTTGGCAAACTTGTCTTACAAGATAACTTGGCAAGCTTGTGTTGCAAGATAATTTGGCAAACTTGTGTTTCAAGATAACTTGGCAAACTTGTGTTGCAAGATAACTCACACTCCATCTCTGACCTGTTTCCCCTCTTTATCTCATCTCATCCCTCCTCATTCCTCCTCATCCCTCCTCATTCCTCCTCATTCCTCCTCATTCCTCCTCATCTCTCCTCATTCCTCCTCATTCCTCTTCATCACTCCTCATTCCTCTTCATTCCTCCTCATCCCTCCTCATTCCTCATCCTTATTCATCCTCATCCCTCCTCATTCCTCCTCACTCCTCATCCTTCTTCATTCCTGCTCATTCCTCCTCATTCTTCCTCAACCCAACTCATTCCTCCTCAACCCACCTCATTCTTCCTCATTTCTCCTCATTCCTCCTCATCCCTCCTCATTCCTCCTCATCCCTCCTAATTCCTCCTCACTCCTCATCCCTCCTCATCCCTCCTCATTCTTCCTCATTCCTCCTCATTCTTCCGCATCCCTCCTCATTCCTCCTTATCCATTATCATTCCTCCTCATCCTTCCTCATCCCTCCTCATTCCTCCTTATTCCTCATCACTCCTCATCCCTCCTCATTCTTTCTCATTTCTCCTCATTCCTCCTAATCCCTCCTCATTCCTCCTCATTCATCCTCATTCATCCTCATCCTTTCTCATCCCTCCTCATTCCTCCTCATTCCTCCTCATCCATCCTCATTCATCCTCATCCTTCCCCATCCCTCCTCATCCCTCCTCATCCCTTCTCCTTCCTCCTCATTCCTCCTCATTCCTCCTCATCCTTCCTCATCCCTCCTCATCCCTCCTCATCCCTCCTCGTTCCTCCTCAATCTTAGTCATCCATCCTAATTCCTTTTCATCCCTCCTCATTCCTCCTCATAATTCCTCATTCCTCCTCATCCCTCCTCATTCATCCTCACTCCTCATCCCTCCTCATTCCTCCTCATTCCTTCTCATTCCTCCTCATCCCTCCTCATTCCTCCTCATCCCTCTTCATTCCTTCTCATCCCTTCTCATTCTTCCTCATCCTTCCTCATTCCTCCTCATTCCTCCTTATCCCTCCTCATTCTTCATCATCCCTTCTCATTCCTTCTCATCCTTCCTCATTCCTCCTCATACTTCCTCATCTCTCCTCATTCCTTTTCATCCCTCCTCATCCTTCCTCATTCCTCGTCATTCCTCTTCGAATACACAGTAGAGCTACAAGTGGAGGGAGAAGCAGGAAGGCCAGGACGAATGAAACCAAACTACAGGAAAGGGGACTACACAGGAATGAGGAACTTCCTGAATGAGGTTCAGTGGGACAGAGAACTGGCAGGGAAACCAGTTAATGAGATGATGGAATATGTAGTCACAATGTGCAAGGAGGCTGAGGAGAGGTTTGTACCCAAGGGTAACAGGAATAATGAAAAAGCCAGGATGAGCCCATGGTTCACTCAAAGATGCAAGGAGGCCAAAACCAAGTGTGCTCGGGAATGGAAGAAATATAGAAGGCAAAGGACCCAGGAGAATAAGGAGAGCAGTCGTAGAGCCAGAAACGAATATGCACAGATAAGAAGGGAGGCCCAACGTCAATATGAAAACGACATAGCAGCAAAAGCCAAATCTGACCCGAAGCTGTTATACAGCCACATCAGGAAGAAAACAACCGTCAAGGACCAGGTAATCAGGCTAAGGAAGGAAGGAGGAGAGACAACAAGAAATGACAGTGAAGTATATGAGGAACTCAACAAGAGATTCAAAGAAGTGTTCACAGAGGAGACAGAAGGGGCTCCAGAAAGACGGAGAGGTGGGGTACACCACCATGTGCTGGACACAGTACACACAACCGAGGAAGAAGTGAAGAGGCTTCTGAGTGAGCTAGATACCTCAAAGGCAATGGGGCCAGATAACATCTCTCCATGGGTCCTGAGAGAGGGAGCAGAGGCGCTATGTGTACCCCTAACAACAATATTCAATACATCTATCGAAACAGGGAGATTGCCTGAGGCATGGAAGACAGCAAATGTGATACCAATATTTAAAAAAGGAGACAGACATGAAGCACTAAACTACAGACCAGTGTCACTGACATGTATAGCATGCAAAATCATGGAAAAAATTGTCAGGAGAAGAATGGTGGAACATCTAGAAAGGAACGATCTCATCACCAGCAGACAACATGGTTTCAGAGACGGGAAATCCTGTGTCACAAACCTACTGGAGTTCTATGACATGGTGACAGCAGTAAGACAAGAGAGAGAAGGGTGGGTGGATTGCATTTTCTTAGACTGCAAGAAGGCGTTTGACACAGTACCACACAAGAGATTAGTGCAAAAACTGGAGGACCAAGCAGGAATAACAGGGAAGGCACTGCAATGGATCAGGGAATACTTGTCAGGAAGACAGCAGCGAGTAATGGTACGAGGAGAGGTGTCAGAGTGGGCACCTGTGACCAGCGGGGTCCCACAGGGGTCAGTCCTAGGACCAGTGCTGTTTCTGGTATTTATGAACGACATGACGGAAGGAATAAACTCTGAGGTGTCACTGTTTGCAGATGACGTGAAGTTGATAAGAAGAGTTCATTCGATCGAAGACCAGGCAGAAATACAAAGGGATCTGGACAGGCTGCAGACCTGGTCCAGCAACTGGCTCCTGGAGTTCAATCCCACCAAGTGCAAAGTCATGAGGATTGGGGAAGGGCAAAGAAGACCGCAGATGGAGTACAGTCTAGGGGGTCAGAGACTACAAACATCACTCAAGGAAAAAGATCTTGGGGTGAGTATAACACCAGACACATCTCCTGAAGCGCACATCAACCAAATAACTGCTGCAGCATATGGGCGCCTGGCAAACCTCAGAACAGCATTCCGACATCTTAATAAGGAATCGTTCAGGACCCTGTACACCGTGTACGTTAGGCCCATATTGGAGTATGCGGCACCAGTTTGGAACCCACACCTAGCCAAGCATGTAAAGAAACTAGAGAAAGTGCAAAGGTTTGCAACAAGACTAGTCCCAGAGCTAAGAGGTATGTCCTATGAGGAGAGGTTAAGGGAAATCAACCTGACGACACTGGAGGACAGGAGAGATAGGGGGGACATGATAACGACTTACAAAATACTGAGAGGAATTGACAAGGTGGACAAAGACAGGATGTTCCAGAGACTGGACACAGTAACAAGGGGACACAGTTGGAAGTTGAAGACACAGATGAATAAAAGGGATGTTAGGAAGTATTTCTTCAGCCACAGAGTAGTCAGGAAGTGGAATAGTTTGGGAAGCGATGTAGTGGAGTCAGGATCCATACATAGCTTTAAGCAGAGGTACGATAAAGCTCATGGTTCAGGGAGAGTGACCTAGTAGCGACCAGTGAAGAGGCGGGGCCAGGAGCTTGGACTCGACCCCTGCAACCTCAACTAGGTGAATACACACACACACATACACACACACACACACACACACACACACACACACATACACATACACACACACACACACACACACACACACACACACACACACACACACACAGAGCTCAAGGGAATGTCGTACGAGGAAAGGTTAAGGGAAATCGGACTGACGACACTGGAGGACAGAAGGGTCAGGGGAGACATGATAACGACATACAAGATACTGCGGGGAATAGACAAGGTGGACAGAGATAGGATGTTCCAGAGAGGGGACACAGGGACAAGGGGTCACAACTGGAAGCTGAAGACTCAGACGAGTCACAGGGACGTTAGGAAGTATTTCTTCAGTCATAGAGTTGTCAGCAAGTGGAATAGCCTAGCAAGTGAAGTAGTGGAGGCAGGAACCATACATAGTTTTAAGAAGAGGTATGACAAAGCTCAGGAAGCAGAGAGAGAGAGGATCCAGTAGCGATCAGTGAAGAGGCGGGGCCAGGAGCTGAGTCTCGACCCCTGCAACCACAATTAGGCGAGTACAATTAGGTGAGTACACACACATACACATACACACACACACACATACACACACACACACACACACACACACACACACACACACACACACACACATACACACACACACACACACACACACACACACACACACACACACACACACACACACACACACACACACACACACACACACACAGAGGAGGAGCTCAACATGAGATTTAAGGAATTATTTACAGTAGAGACAGGAAGGGCTCTGAGAAGACAGCACAGAGGGGAACACCAACAGGAAATATACCAACAGGTGCTGGATGATATTCAAACAACGGAGGAGGAGGTGAAAAAGCTGCTAAGTGACCTTGATACCTCAAAGGAGAGGGGTCTGGACATCTCCCCGTGGGTCCTTAGAGAAGGAGCAGAGACGCTGTGTGTGCCACTAACCACAATCTTCAATACATCCCTTGAAACTTTGCAACTACCTGAGGTACGGAAGACGGCAAATGTAGTCTTCATTTTTAAGATTGGAGACAGAAACGAGGCACTAAGCTACAGACCAGTGTCTCTGACGTGTATAGTATGCAAAGTCATGGAGAAGATTATCAAGAGGAGAGCGGTGGAGCACCTGGAACGGAACAAGATTATAAACGACAACCAGCACGGATTCATGGAAGGCAAATACTGTGTCACAAACTTTCTGGACTTTTATGACAAGGTAACAGAAGTAAGACACGAGAGAGAGGGGTGGGTTGATTGCATTTTCCTGGACTGCAGGAAAGCATTCGACACAGTTCCTCACAAGAGATTAGTGTAGAAGCTGGAGGATCAGGCGCGTATAACAGGAAGTGCACTGCAATGGATCAGAAAATACTTGACAGGGAGGCAGCAACGAGTCATGGTACGTGATGAGGTATCACAGTGGGCGCCTGTGACGAGCGGGGTCCCACAGGGGTCGGTCCTAGGACCAGTGCTATTTTTGATATATGTGAATGACATGATGGAAGGGATAGACTCAGAAGTGTCCCTGTTTGCAAATGATGTGAAGTTAATGAAAAGGATTAAATCGGATGAGGATCAGGCAGAACTACAAAGAGACCTGGACAGGCTGGACACGTGGTCCAGCAACTGGCTTCTCGAATTCAACCCCGCCAAATGCAAAGTCATGAAGATTGGGGAAGGGCAAAGAAGACCGCGGAGAGAGTATAGGCTAGGTGGACAAAGACTGCAAACCTCACTCAAGGAGAAAGATCTTGGAGTGACCATAACACTGAGCACGTCTCCGGAAGTACACATCAACCAAATAATTGCTGCAGCATATGGGCGCCTGGCAAACCTGAGAATAGCGTTCCGATACCTTAGTAAGGAATCGTTCAAGACACTGTACACTGTGAATGTCAGGCCCATACTGGAGTATGCAGCACCAGTTTGGAACCCACATCTGGTCAAGCACGTCAAGAAATTAGAGAAAGTACAAAGGTTTGCAACAAGGCTAGTTCCGGAGCTAAGGGGAATGTCCTACGAAGAAAGGTTGAGGGAAATCGGCCTGACGACACTGAAGGACAGGAAGGTCAGGGGAGACATGATAACAACATACAAAATACTGCGTGAAATAGACAAGGTGGACAGAGACAGGATGTTCCAGAGAGGGAATACAGAAACAAGGGGTCACAATTGGAAGCTGAAGACTCAGACTAGTCACAGGGATGTTAGGAAGTACTTCTTCAGTCAGAGTCGTCAGGAAGTAGAAAAGCCTAGCAAGTGATGTAGTGGAGGCAGGAACCATACATAGCTTTAAGGCGAGGTATGACAAAGCTCAGGAAGCAGAGAGAGAGAGGACCTAGTAGCAATCAGTGAAGAGGCGGGGCCAGGAGCTGAGTCTCGACCCTTGCAACCACAGTTAGGTGAGTACACACACACATACACACACACATACACACACACACACACACACACACACACACACACACACACACACACACACACACACACACACACACACACACACACACACACACACACACACAGCTCGACCAGGTCATGTGATCTTGCCACTGTACATACTTGAACCTGTGTGACAGCTGTAGGAGACATCGTCACCTCTCCTCTATCTCACACAGTATCAGCAGCAGCAGCAGCAGCAGCAGCAGCAGCAGCAGCAGCAGCAGCAGCAGTAGCAGCAGCAGCAGCAGCGGTAGTCAGCTGATGATTGCTCAAAATAGTCCACTTCTCCTTCCTCGTATCATTCATTATCATGTTTCTCCCCACGTGAGCATGATGAGTTACACTCGTTATTCACCCTTAAATGTTATATAGTTAAATGACCCTTACGAGCCTAGCGCTCACTGTACACTTGTGTTCTCACAAGACACAGACACGCATGTCCGTGTCTTGTGTCCTTGTCACGTACACTCGATTTATTATTATTTATTTGTTGCAGAGATCAATCACATATGAAGATTTCATGATGAATATTGTCCTGGAGTGTTGGTAACCCAGGAAAACCCAAGTCAGTCTCGATTGGATCCATTAGGGTCCTTCGATGCTCTTCCCAAGATGCGACCCACAGCAGTCGGCTGATACCCCGGTACCTAGTTACTACTAAGTGGACCGGGACAGCTTCCTTCCATAATGCCACCAACAAGACTAAGTGAATATATTTCTTTCAAGTAAATAGTGGAATGATGTGTATTTTTTTGCTGTTTTTTTTATATTTTTTGGTATTTGTGAAAGGTTTAACTAGAGCAAGTGCAGGCGCTGGGTACCAGTGAATGGTCTGATTAGAGCTAGGTGCTGAATGCCTGTTAAGGACCTGGCTAGAGCTAGGTGCTAGGTACCTGTGAATGGCATGACTAGAGCTAGGTGCTTAGGACCAGCTAAGGACCTGGCTAGAGCTAGGTGCTGAGTACCTGTTAAGGACCTGGCTAGGGCTAGGTGCTGGATACCTGTGAACGGCCGGACAAGAGCTAGGTTCTGGGGCTGCGGGCTGGGCTTATGGGTGACCATGATAAAAGGTTCATTGGTATAGATCCTGGTGAAGTCGATGACCAGCTTCCTGGAATAGGACCAAAAAAGGTTCATGGAGAAGTCTGCTCTCTCCTCCGCCAGCGTGCCCACCAGACCCGTCCAGGTACCGTTGTCTTCAGTACCCCACTCATCTCTCGTTTCCATCCTCATCTCATACCTACACACCGTGAAATTCCAAATTCAAATCACATTATTTTTATTTGAAATAATTGTTCAAAATAAATAGTAATATATATATTCTGAAGCTAACGGAAATATATTTTCATTGTGTTTGTTCATTATTAAATTATTGTAAATTTATCTAAAATATATTTAGTTGGATTAGGCTAAATTAAATTGCGATTGTTATATTAAGGTTAGGTAAGTTTTCTAAGGTTCTTCTGGTGCAAAATTTATAATTTTTACATTAACATTAACCCCCGTGGGAGAAACTATGTATCAATAAAGGCTTCCCTTCATTACTCGTCTTCCAACCCCTCGTACACATTTACGTTTCTCTTCTGTAGACGTACGTGAAGTTAAGGATCCGGAGAACGACGTTCAACATGCGGACATCGAGGGAGTCCTTGGGGGTGACGGTGCTGCCAGGGGCGTCAGTGTCCCTCTGGAACTCCATGAAGGGAAAGAAGCTCTTGCAGACCACGTTCACGCGGTGTCCCATCATGTCCTCGAACCTCTCTGGAATAGTCCCGAGTTCGTCGGAAATATTTTTTTCAGTCGTCGAAATGTATTCGATTTGTCCTCTCACGGAATTTACACTTCTGAAACTCTTTTCACTTGAAATATGATTTAAGGAACCGGATTTGTAATTTGCTTAGACGACAACATTAGCTAAGCCACCCAAGTAAGTAAACAAGTTATGTGTAAAGTTATTCTTGATATGTTAATAAAATCATGATCGGAAAGACATGGTGAGGACGTTATTAGGTATATTGAAGACTGAGACACTTGTGCAGCATTTTGGGAATCTTTATTGTGGACATATTTCGCCGGCGAGTGGCTTCTTCAGTCCAATGCAGAGAAAGGTGGAAGATTAGGAGGAGTTCGAGGTAATCAGCCCCTCAGTCTGGAGTCGACGTGTTCAGTCCATCAGTCAGACGCAGCAACATTATGGGATCCTGATACAAGGAATTCTTTAAAACTTGTCTAACCTACAGTCATGACCTTCTTCCGCTAGTGGTTGTCCACTAGTGACTCCCCTTACCACTGCTCCACCTCATCTGTCACCAGTGTATAAGCTCCATCTCCCAGAATATGTTGAACTTCTATCAAGATTGATGGACTGAACACATCCACTCCAGGACTGATTACCTCAGACTCCTCATCTTCCAATGTTCTTCTCTGTATTGGACTGAAGAAGCCACTGGTTGGCGAAACGTTTCCTCAATGAAGATTCCCAAATATTGCACAAGTGTCTCATTCTTCAACTTGTGGGGTTTGTAAACTACTTATACCACATTAATTAGGCGTTCCTGAAGGGAAACCTTAAGGGCCACGTAAGTTCCCCCGTCTTCTAATAATATGTTAATTTTTTCCCTATAACCCACCTTGATGAAGATTTAGATACATGTGTCTAAGTGTTTATCTTGTCGGTATTGTATACCATTCTTGTACATAATCTACTTTGTCCATAATTACTATCGCATTTGCTTTGTCTGTTTCGTAAGGTGAAGTCCAGGATCTTTCCTTAATTCATGGTATAACTTAACAAATATTTGATGACAATTGTGTTGTAGAGGTCTGAGCACAGCTCAGACTTCTATAATATTAATTTTTAAATATAATTAATTCAAAGTGTCCTCTTGATACTGGCTTTACCATACCCTCAACGGTAATAACTTCATAATGCAAATTGAGCAGTTTGAAAGCTAATGTATTGGTGTATTTTAGGATATTGGTCTCTTTGAGATAACGAGAGAATTCCTCTTCAGCTTGACTTCAGAGCTGGCGCATCTCAGTGGAAGTTCTGAATTAATTTTGGGTGTATGTCCTAATTTGCCATTTTTATTAGTGAGTTGGGATATTAGTGCCAACGTGAGAACTTGTGAATACTAAATTTAATTCACTTCAAATCTTCAGTGTTAAAATTTAGAAGACTTATGCCACATTCTGCACTATTTCGTTTGCATGCATTGAGTGTAAGGGACTGGGGTTATGCAATAAGGGGATATCTTTCTCTAATAGCGCAGCTAGAGAAAAACGTCTAGTTATTATTCATGGGACTGCGCTGGGGTAAGGTTAGGTTAGGTAAGGTTTGTCAGGAAACAGGACAAGTGTCTCCCAACGCGGATCTTGGTCACAAGATTTCCGGCAGCTGAAGCTTTTGGTAAGGTGCCAAGACGCTGTTGTCGAGAAGGCCTTGGGAAAAGGTGCTCACCTAGGAATGGTGATCTCCCTGGAAGAAGACCTTGACCAGGTCTCCACGCCCCCAGGGCTCGTACCCCAGGGTCACCTGAAGAGCAGTAGAGGCACCTTACATACACCCACACCATCCCAACACAGGCACCTATGGTCGGGCAGTCACGGCGATCATGGGTAAGGCAGGGAAAATTAATGAAGACATTAAAATTAATGTTTGTCTGTGACTGATAATACAGCAGTGAAGACAGTTACATTGTATTTAAGTCGTTTCCCAGCAAGGCGGGGCGGCATGAACAAGAACACGTTTACCATCACTTGCGCCACAGCTGTCGTCCCAAATGGGCATATTGATAGACTGCATTTCAGAAATTGGTAATCCTGTGGCTTATCACTACAAGGAGTGGTGAAGGCTCGATCCTTCATCTGTTAACCTCAGTCTGGTCTATAATCAGCTTGTTTCCTGTGATCTTTATTAAAGCATGTATAAACACGCTGACTCGACCCCTTACCTGACCAGGCACAGTCAGCAGCCTCAGAAGAGAGTGTCATGGTGGAGGAGGGCGCTGTGATAGCCAGGTAGAGGGCGTGTATGGTGTTGCGAAGGCTGCCATCACTCAGCAGCGCCCATGTCCGTGCCACCGACCCCACGCCCACAACACGGGTCTTAGGCTGCAGGTACAGTTTCACCTCCCTCAGGAACTTCCTGACGGGGTCGAGGAGGAGGAGGAGGAGCGAGGTGAAGAAAGAGTATTTTAGTTATTGTTTTATGTTTATTTGTATGTTTCATTAATGGACCTTTTCTTGTGTTTTGTGTAACGTAAAGTGAATATTTTATGCAGTATATCCCTACAATGAACGTGTTATATGTTAGTTTTAATGAACTACGTATATTCCATGGGTTCTGTGAGGCAGTCACCATGTTGTGTGTATATATATATATATATATATATATATATATATATATATATATATATATATATATATATATATATATATATATATATGTATATATATATATATATATATATATATATATATATATATATTGTGTGTGTGTGTGTGTGTGTGTGTGTGTGTGGTGTGTGTGTGTGTGTGTGTGTGTGTGTGTGTGTATGTGTGTGTGTATGTGTGTGTGTATGTGTGTGTGTATGGTGTGTGTGTGTGTGTGTGTGTGTGTGTGTGTGTGTGTGTGTGTGTGTGTGTGTGTGTGTGTGTGTGTGTGTGTGTGTGTGTGTGTGTGCAAAAAAAAAAAAAACCACCGTGAAAAAAATAATGAATATCCAAGCCCTTTCGTGATTTCTCACATTATCAAGGACATGTAATAACTGTGAGAAATCAAGAAAGCTCTTGGTTAAATTCAACACATACTGTGCTCTCTCTTGGATAGGAGTCCACTTCTATCCAAATGTGCCTGCTAGCATATGTTCCCCAGCATATGACCGAGGGTCAACCTATTACAATAGCATATGTGCAACATTTGGGTACCTATATTCCGGAATAATGATATTTAAATGTTGCACAAGTGTCTCATGTATCAACTTGTCGGGTTTTTGAACCATTTATTCACATATTACGACAACCTTCGCTGGAAATAATTGGAAACACTGCCAACATGCCAGAGTGATGACTTCCACAGGTTATCTGATGTTAGAACTGTACCGCCGTGAACCGGGAGATCCTAGCATGCCTCAGTATAGTGACGACTCACAGGAGCACCTCAGTACAAGAGGTGAAGTCCAGCAGGAAAGATCTGCAGTTAAGCTTCGTGTCTCCCTCAGCAAGGTACTCCTTCAGTGTGTCGCTAACGAGGGGTCGTCCCGCGTCGAAGTGCTGGTTGTCGCACTGCTGGCTATCAGGGTGCTGACTGCCGGAGTGATGGTTGTTGAGGTTAGTGGTAAGCAGAGATGAACCTACATCCACCAGTACGGCGGTCTTCCCACCGAAACTCAACCACCTGCAAAATACCCGAAATGCACCGCATGTTAGTGGCCTTTTGTGCTGTACAGTATTTTATTGCATGTAAACTATATTTTGTATTCAGCAGAAAGAAATAAAGTTTGTTTGTCTGCGTCATAGTTGGGGAGGTAATCGGAACTTCAGTTATGCAGCCTAAATCACCATTATCACTGTATCATAAACATCGCTGGTAGAGATACCTTACTGTTCATTCCCTCCACTTTTTTCCGAGTTAATGCTATCGAGGTTATCTGTTGCGCTAAGAAGGGAAGCTTAAGAGGGCATTATCTTGATCACTTCATATATAGCTGTTACTCAGTGTTTACAATCTTTGTAACTCTCGTAGGGGTATTTTTCAAAGCAGAATATGTTAGATAGTTACTCTCAATACTCTTAATTTTGGTCAGTAACTCTGAAACAATTAATTTTTTTCTCGTCAATATCCGAGAAGTAGTGAAAGTTTTTGGTTAATATCTGAGAAACAGTGAAAATTTTTGGTCAGTATCCCAGAAACAGTGAATTTTTTTTTTGGCTTAATATCTAAGAAGCAGCGATAATGTTTTATAACTTTATAAAAAAAAACATCCTAAAGCTAATATTGCTTAAAAACACCAAGTTTTTCTCTAAAAGTTATATAATTCTCAGTAAGTTTCAGTCTTCCACTTGGTAAAAATTTAAATATAGAATATATACGTCTGCAACACTAATACACATGTTTATGCAACACCTGTAGTGGTCAGGGATTACGAGGGTGTTCACTCGAAGGAATATTAACACAAGCAAGTCGACGAGACGAGACTTGTAAACAACACACCAGAAGAAACTGAACCAAATAAAAATTATTTCATGGTTGAGATCTAGTTAAATTCCATGGCTAGCAAGAAGTCTGTCAGGGATGTCAGTGGTGACAGTATCAGAGGAAGAGGTTTGTCAGGGATGTCAGTGGTGACAGTATCAGAGGAAGAGGTTTGTCACTGATGTCAGTGGTGACAGTATCAGAAGAAGAGAACTGTCAAGGTTGTCAGTGGTGACAGTATCAGAGGAAGAGGTTTGTCAGGGATGTCAGTGGTGACAGTATCAGAAGAAGAGAACTGTCAAGGTTGTCAGTGGTGACAGTATCAGAGGAAGAGGTTTGTCAGGGATGTCAGTGGTGACAGTATTAGAAGAAGAGAACTGTCAAGGTTGTCAGTGGTGACAGTATCAGAGGAAGAGGTTTGTCAGGGATGTCAGTGGTGACAGTATCAGAAGAAGAGAACTGTCAAGGTTGTCAGTGGTGACAGTATCAGAGGAAGTCTGTCTCAATTTCCCTCATAAATCTATGGACATGGGAAAGGCTTTTATTATTTTATCATTATCTCATAAATCTATTTTTTGTGTGTGAGACAGTCTCGGGTAGGAGACTGGAGACACCGGTCGTGAGTGTCTCCCCGGGGTCTATCCTGTTCTGACTGTTGATGCAAAGATCTTGCTGGTACCGCTTGTATTCTCCGTGGCTCACATAATGCTCTACAAACGTTGCTTATTTGTATATACACTTAAATTATAAATTACATTATATTTAATGACACATGGATTTGCGCCACCCACCTGACGATGTTTGTGAAGGTTGGTGAGTGTATGTTCGCTGTCACCACTACCAGGTGGCACCCGTCCAGGTATTTCCCCACTACCTGTGCCACTACCTGTGCCACTACCTGTGCCACTACCTGGCCCACCTGGCCCACCTGGCCCACCTGGCCCCTACTCTCTGCTGTCTGGCTCGCTCCTTTCGTCGCCTGGTCAATCTTATACTCGACCTCTTCCATCTCTCGTAATTCCTTCACGTGTAGTGCCGCATTAACCATCATCTTGTTGTGAGTGGCACTGGTCATGGCCCCCATTAGTGAAAGTGGCATCACCTCTGGCACAGCCTCTACCGTCACTGTCACCACCACTGTCATCACCACTGCCGCCTCCACTATCATCACCACTGACCACATCAGTGAAAAGTAAGGGAGCTTCCTGGTCCTGCTGAGTAAAGGTGCTGCTGAAAGTACTGACTGAAGGTGCTGACTGAGGGTGCTGACTGAAGGTGGTGACTGAGGGTGCTGCTGTAGGAAGGATAAGTAGATTCAACTAAGTTATCATGAAGCCTTTTTTTTAGGTTTAATGCACATACAGTTTAGTTTCAGTATGACGATCAACAAGGCTGCAATTCGCCCATTCAATAATTGAACCCCTCGTCATTAAGTCCAAGTGTATATACACTGAGAAATATACACCTCTCGTTGTATATACGCTTTGGAATTAATCAGTAGCTCATTTTTGTATATCAAACGAGTATGTAGACATTTATAAATATCTATATGGTATAAGCACATACACACTACCAACGGTAGTCGTTGCTTTATACATATAGGCACATTAAACAATATTCACCATACCCCCGGCCGGGATTGAACACTTAAGAAATCGTAATGACACGATTGCAAATAAACCATACCCCCGGCCGGGGGTATGGTTTATTTGCAATCGTGTCATTACGATTTCTTAAGTCAAACAATATTCACACTGAAGATAAAGTAAACTCGCCTATAAAGACAAGCAGACACTGACCTCAGTGCCACACTGCCTCTCTGTCACCGTCTTCAAGCATATATATATCACTGCACCGGCCCTCCTGGCATTTAGCACCGTTTGGTAGGACGTTATATGGCACTTTGTGGCACCGATTACTGTCACGATAAATTTTTCAATAGTAGGTTGGTTTTCGACTAGACTAGACTAGGTCCTGAAGGCTACACATAACTTCTTCAGCACCAGACAAAAACACTTTAAAACCCTAAAGTAACGTAGTAACGCAGTAACGTAGTAACGTAACAAAGGTTAGTAGAGCTAATTAACAAAACAGTTTAAAGAGCTAAAAAAAGCACAATATATATATCTTTTGATGTTCATTGGTTGAAATTCTCTTTTTTTTTTTTTTTTTTTTTTTTGTTATTTTTTAAATTGATTCATTTCTGTAAAATATATAAGTAATTAGGCTGCTTCTCGCCGGAGGAGGAGGAGGAGGAGGACATATTCATGCTGTTACCCCCAGCAACTTCTTGGAGTTTCTTCAAGAGTTATTGGTGAATTCTGGCTGGAACAGAGAACTTGTGAATATTGTTGTGGGGAACCAAGTACTCGTCTTAACAACATCACGACTGAGGGTTTAGGTCAGTCTGTTCATCGTCTCGTCAACATCATGTCACTTTAGGTCAGTCTGTTCATCGTCTCGTCAACATCTCGTCACTTTAGGTCAGTCTGTTCATCGTCTCGTCAACATCTCGTCACTTTAGGTCAGTCTGTTCATCGTCTCGTCAACATCTCGTCACTTTAGGTCAGTCTGTTCATCGTCTCGTCAACATCTCGTCACTTTAGGTCAGTCTGTTCGTCGTCTCGTCAACATCTCGTCACTTTAGGTCAGTCTGTTCGTCGTCTCGTCAACATCATGTCACTTTAGGTCAGTCTGTTCATCGTCTCGTCAACATCATGTCACTTTAGGTCAGTCTGTTCGTCGTCTCGTCAACATCTCGTCACTTTAGGTCAGTCTGTTCATCGTCTCGTCAACATCATGTCACTTTAGGTCAGTCTGTTCGTCGTCTCGTCAACATCTCGTCACTTTAGGTCAGTCTGTGCATCGTCTCGTCACCATCACGTCAGTTTAACATAAATTTCATTCTAACGTAAACTTATACCGTAAATACGTTTGTTTCGTAATATTGTTGAGTTCCAGCGTCTCTGTACCTTCCATAAAATGACAGTCATATCCTTTGATAAAAGGACACATGAGAACTACTATTGAAACATTTATTGCGGCTACGTTTCGCTCTCCGGGAGCTTTATCAAACCTGGGTACATAAAGCTAATCGTGAATGAAACGTAGCTCCAATAAATGCTTTATTAGCTGCTCATTTGTCGTTTAACCACAGGATCTGCTTCTCCTTTTATGGCAACCATATCCTAGTGTGTCCTCTCTTTCTTAACACTGTTGGTAATTCTACTAGCTTCCGCAAGCATATCCTCGTCCAGTGGTAGGTGAGTGTAGCAAATCTTCAGGTAGTGAGAGAATTAGGGTCTCTCATCGTATGGAGGTTTGGTTTCAGAGCACCAGTGGTGATTCTCTCTTTTTTTTTCCGTGTTTGGAATCTTAGTCTTCGGGTACCAGTGGTGATTCTGTCTCATCCCATGTATGGAGTCTTGGCCTCAGGGTACCAATGGTGATTCTGTCTCATCCCATGTATGGAGTCTTGGCCTCAGGGTACCAATAGTGATTCTGTCTCATCCCATGTATGGAGTCTTGGCCTCAGGGTACCAGTGGTGATTCTGTCTCATCCCATGTATGGAGTCTTCGTCTCAGGGTACCAATGGTGATTCTATCTTATCTCACGTATGGAGTCTTGGCCTCAGGGTACCAGTGGTGATTCTGTCTCATCCCATGTATGGAGTCTTGGCCTCAGGGTACCAGTGGTGATTCTGTCTCATCTTATGTGACACAAAGATGTCCAGTACTGAAGCCAACCCCCGCCCCTTTTTTCATATCAAATCTGATTTCCTTCGTCCCCATCCACACCCCTCTTATTCCAAAGTCTTAGTATGACCCATAAGAGTTTAAAGTTTACTCTTGAAAATAATAGAGTAGTAATAATGATTGCCTTTACCTAGACAATTATTTAAAGTTACTTTCTTCACATTTGATAACAGGCGACCGTATTTTCGTCGTTTCCATCGGATTTCAACCTGAAAGTGTTGGAGTAATCATGTCGGAAATGCCTGAAGATGTCTGGTAAAATATTCTACGGGAATGCCACACTCTAGTTAATGGCCTGACTAGTTAATGGCCTGACTAGTTAATGGCCTTACTAGTTAGTGGCCTGACTAGCTAATGGTCTGACTAGTTAATGGTCTGACAGGGTGGGTGACCCACCGAGGCAGGGTGACCCACCGAGACAGGGTGGCCCACCGAGGCAGGGTGACCCACCGAGACAGGGTGGCCCACCGAGGCAGGGTGACCCACCAAGGCAGGGTGACCCACCAAGGCAGGGTGACCCACCAAGGCAAGGTGACCCACCGAGGCAGGGTGACCCATTTAGTAATGTATACAGGAGAAGGTGTACCAGCCACTTGCTCAAAGCATTTCAGTCGCCTTTTACGACACGCATGGCTTACGGAGAAAGGATTCTTCTCCACTTCCCCATTTTTTTATTATTATTAAGTGGAGAAATAGTGACATGTTGAAAGTAGCCACAAGTGCCTTCATAGCTAGGTAGTACTCTCTCGTCCTCATTAAACAGGTGACCCCAACTGTAACTTACAGGAAGCACTCCAAGAACCCGTGTAACCTACCAGCAACAAGGGTAGTTGCAGGGAGGTGAACGACAGGCAGCGTTCAGGCAACTTACATTTCTGCAGACAAGCTCATCCACAGACTAACATCAGTGTCGTTCAAATATTCACTCGGGAATTTATATGTACGAACGAAGGTTTCTCCCTCTCATTGCTACTTAAGATATTAACAACCTTAAGATTGCATGACTTTAGTGATGGTGACAGTGATATTACTGATCTTAACAGATAGAGAGAGAAAGAGAAAGAGAGAGAGAGAGAAAAGAGAGAGAGAGAGAGAGAGAGAGAGAGAGAGAGAGAGAGGAGAGAGAGAGAGAGAGAGAGAGAGAGAGAGAGAGAGAGAGAGAGAGAGAGAGAGAGAGAGAGAGAGAGAGAGAGGGAGAGAGAGAGAGAGACAGACAGACAGACAGACAGACAGACAGACAGACAGAGAAAAGGCTGTGAGCCCAGACAAGTTGAGCCCAAGATTGCTGAGATGTGCAGACCAGCTAGCAGTACCTTTAACTCGCATCTTTCAGCACTGCCTAGTACAGTGTAAATGGCCTTCCCTGTGGAAAGAGGCAAATGTAGTCCCTGTTCACAAAAAGAAGAGCAGAGCAGAAATCAGCAACTACAGATCAGTGTCACTCCTGTCAGTCACTGGCAAGATCCTTGAGACAATAATCTCAAGACAAATGACAGTTTTTTGACTACCACTCATTACTTTGTGACTGTTAATATAGCTTCTGTTGTTAAACCTCTCCACTAAATGGCACCAGTCACTGGATGAATCCAAAGTCAGCTGTGTGGTAGCACTGGACATTGCTGGTGCTTTCGACCGGGTGTGGCACCAGGGCCTCTTAGCAAAACTGCAAGCACTGGGAATTGCAGGCTCTACGCTATGTCTCCTCAGTGATTACCTTCATGGTAGATCTCAATGGGACGGAATCAGCAAGAGATCCTATTGGGGCAAGTGTTCCACAAGGAAGCGTGCTGGGACCATTGTTATGGAATGTCTACTTCAATGACCTTCATCTCATCCCAGAATCCCATGCATATGCAGACGACTGTACACTGACATTCACTTATCCAAGAGAAGAAATGCCAGCTGCTTTAAGCTACATCAATCACCAGCTAAGAGCTATATCAGCTTGGGGAAACAGATGGCAAGTAACATTTGCATCTGAGAAAATGCAAATGATGATGGTCTCTAGGTACCATGATGGTAATGCCGGTGCAGTAGTAAGCATGAATGGGAGGGCGATGGTTCCTGGGGAACAAGCTGATATCCTTGGGGTGAAATTTAATTCCAAACTGACCATGAAGAACCATGTTGTAAATCTTGCAAACAAGGCTGCCAGGAAGCTTACAGCATCTCCTTGACAGTAGGGGTTTCAAGATTCTGTATGAGGCACAAGTGTGCTCACACCTTGAGTATGCTCCACTTTCTTGGTTTGCCTACCCCCACCTCTCATCTGCGATTGCCTGACAGAGTAGAAAACAGAGCAAGACGTCTCATCTCTCGGCTGGACCAGTCCTGGATAGATCTGTCATTTCAGCAAAACCTTCACACAGTGAGTGGCCTTACTGTTAT